GAGGGCTTTAGCGAGGTGAACTGCAACTTCTTGGTAAAGACAGCCCTGTGGGCCCCAAAGGGGAGGAGAGAATGGCAATTTGAGGTCAGTGTGGCTCAAACTTTAATGAATATACACTTAGAGGTCCGGATAAAATGCAGATTCGGATTCAGCAGGCCTGAGAGCCTGGTCAGTCCTGCAGGTCACCCTGTGAGAAACAAGCTTCAAGTGCATCCCCTTCGTGTCCACAAACACAAGTCAGACTCATGCTGTCTCTAGACTATGGGTTCAGAACAGTGTTCTTCAGGCTGGACTGAGTGGCTCCCTGGAGACAGGGCAGGACCTGGGACACATAATCAGGTCCCCTCCCCAAGGACAGCCTGAGATGACTTACAATAGAGGAGGAAGACAACACGGGGCGGGGACCAAGAGCGGGTAGGGGAAGGCTCCTGCAAAGGCGTCTGTTCCTTTGGCAACAGCAGACAGAGGCCTCCCGAGAACCCGGCAGACAGGAGCCCCTCCCGCCGTGCCTGCCAGGGCTCTGATGGACGGAAGCAGGAGGCCTATTTCCTCATTGGGCCTCTGAATAACTAGGGCACTTCCACAAGGTCACAGTTATTCATTTAAATTCCAGGTCTAATCAGCAGGCAGAGCCTGCGAAATTATCCCTTCTGAGGAGAGAGGCTGTCATTGGAGAACCATAAACAGCCCCTCCAGGCAGGAGGGAGACGCACTGGGGGAGGGGAGAAGAAGGGCCTCATACCCATAGGTCCCAGAATTGTTTCCTGGGCTCTAACCCACGACTCTTCCCTCTTTCTCACTTCCAAATGGCTTCCAGAGAGTTCCAGAACAGGCAAAAGGCAGGGGAAAGTTAAAGGCAGGGCAGAGATGCCTACCTCTGCCCTGAAGCAACCCAGGAAGACCAGTGACAAATCCCAATGTACAAAAGCATGGGATAAGGTATTTGACAGGGGTCCCCGCCAGGCCACAAATGGGTTACATGGCCTTGGACAGGTCCCTTCCCTTCTTGGTCCTCAGTTTGTACTCTTTGGACAGGATACTCGTTAAACTCTACCATGTCTTGGAACCTACAAACTCAAAATCCTCCATTTGCTTGTGGCCATACTTCTTGTTCAACAGAGATTTTTGAGGTTAAGCTCAGTGCCATGTGCTGTGCAAAGAGCTGGGTACACAAACACAAACAGGACACAGCCTGTCCCATAGCTCGAAAGGCAGAGTCTGGAAGAACAAGAGCACAGGCTTTGAAGACAGGCAGATCCGGGATCCTGGCCTAATCATTAGCAGGAGGTGACCCAGGCAAGTTACTGAAGCTCCTTGCGGCAACTTTTCTTCCTCTGTGCTGAGGATGGTAACACCAACCTGGAGGGGCTGACGTAGAGGGTCAAGAGATGCAGGGGAGGTGTCAGAGCAGGGCTCCCTGGCCCTCTTCAGCACCTGCCAACTGCTTATTGTTACTGTTATTGTTCTGAATCTCGTCCCCAAAGACTAGGAGAAGGAGATATGGATTTCGCCCCGTGAAATGGAAGAAAATGTGCCTGCTCCTTTTTCCTGGGTGTCCCATCCTGAGTCCCCATCCTGTCTCTGGGACCTTAGGAAAGGTGTTGCCTACCAGGCCTCATCTCAGACTGTTTTACAGTAGGGTTACTTCTAACTCATCTCCTCCACATGTAAAATTAATCAATTAATCAATTGTCCCTTTATAGTCTTCCAGCGGCCTCTGGGTAAATAGTTACATTAGCTCATAAAATCCCCAATTTGTCTTCCTGAGGGGAAGGAAAAAGAAGTCAGAGAACCACTAAGGGCTTCTTGTTTCAGAACCACAGCGCTGCTGGCTCCAGAATGCCTGGCCAGGGGCTCAGAGAGGCAGGAGGGCCCCACTGACCTCAGCCAGGGCCAGGCATGCTCAGGCCACCTCCAGCCATGTCCAGGACGACAAGAGAAGGTTCCAAACCAGTGATTTGCTTCAGGCTTAGAAACCACAAAAAAGCAAGGGGTTGGTGGGGCTGCAAGATTGGCAATCAGCCCTTGACACTTCAAGGACAGAATGAAGAGCAGGAGATGTGAAATTAGGCTGTAATCCCCTCTTGGCCCTGTCACTCAACAGCTGGGTGACTGTCACACATCAGTTAACTCCCTTGGGCCTCAACTTCCTCAGCACTGAAATGGGCTCAGGCCACACCCCTCAGAGAGATAAGAGAACCACATGAGACAGCAGCCATGAAATTGAAATGGTGTGGGTCAGGCTGGTCATAGCTGCTGTTATCTGAGGAAGGGTTGAGGGCCTATGTTAATTTCTCTTCCCAGGTCCACAAGGGGCGTGGTTTCAAAGGCAGAACTTCCCAGCACCATACCTCTATCCACCTGCGCCACCCCCAAACCAATCGGGGAGCCTAGAGTTCTTTGTCTAATTTTCCCATGGGTGGGAAGGTAGACTGCCCAGGTGAGCTTCCTTTGTTTACAAAGCCCATGAAAAGCTCTGGGAGGACTGTGGGCCGGGCAGCCAATCCAATAGCAAAGTCAAAAATCAATCATTCCAGTGGAAGTTTAAAGGAACTCTTCTCATGGGACAAGAACCTGAATAGGGCAGGAGTAATTCGCAAATTAAAAGTCCCCTGCCTCTCACCTGTGCAGACTTCATCTCTGGATCCCTTCCCACGACAGTGTGGGTGCACTCGCTCTCTCGCTCTCTCTCTCTCTCTTGCTCTCTCTCTCTCTCTCTCCATAATAAATCACTTTTCTGCAAAGCTCTTTGGATCTGATATTTACTTAAACAATATCACTGTGCTGCCTGGGTCTCCTCCCCATTCTTGGGTGAGTGAGAGCCCAAGGACCTGGAAAAAACATATCTGATCAGGGAACAGTGAGTGTCACTGGGACGCCCCCACAGCCCTGCTCCTGTCCCCAGGTTACAGGGTGACTCACAGACCTCTACCTCTTTGAAAGGACGGAAGAAGGCCTACAGGTCCACTGGTTTTCACTCTGCCATGCTATCTCATCCAGAACCAATATGGTGCTGTGTGAGTTCTAGAAAAAGATGCCCCTTTGGTCAGGTTTGGCAAGAGGAACGCAGGCTGGATTCACACCTCAATTCGTCCCCTTGGCTGAGAGACCCTATGCAGGGCCCAGCTCTATGTGGTAACCCCTGGACACATCTCTGCTGGGACCTAGAAAGAGAAGCCACATTGCACTTTACAAACAAAACAAGGTGTTAGGCTTACTCCCTTGCTTCCTTGAGATTCCCCAGCAAATATCATCTTATCAGAGGGTACTTCCCTGACTACCTATTGTAAATTAGGGACTTCTCCTCTATCCTGCTTCAATTTCCTCCACAGCACTTCTCACCCACCCCCCGATTCTATATATATGTAATACATACAAAATATACATATATATGTGTATACATGCATGCACATAAAGTATATGTATACATACACATGTATGTGAGTGTCTGTGTGTACATTTTAGTTCACTGTCTGCCTCTGCCTAAAAATAAAAGGCCCACGAGGGCACTGATTGTCTTCTGTTTTGTTCACTGTTTTGTCCCCGTGGCCTAGAACAGTTCCTGGAACGCAAATATTTGTTGAGTGAGTGAGTGAACTAAAATACTATTAAATAGAAATAATAAATTTAATGGCATCTTCCTAGGAAATGCTGTCCTGGGCTTTGGTTCAAATACCAATTATTTTCAAAGGTAGGGGGCAGGCAGGAAGAAATGGAGAGACACTCTCTGCATTAAGTAGAATAGCTGTATTCTTCTTTTATGTTGTGTAAGGGCCCACATAGAACAACGATCAGAAGAACCCTACTGAAGTCTGGTAGATTATTTTGGATATTTAAGACAAATAAAAGATAAATTCATTTGGAAAGAGGGCTGCTAATAAAGAAAATATCATATTATCTCTAAGCAAAAACAAACAAATAAGCAATAGTCTCATTAGGAAATACTTACAAAATCTTCAATCACTGAGAATTTTCATTGATAGGTCCCAGCATTTTCCAATGGAGTGAGAATCAGAAGTTCAAATCCCAGGGCTACCATGACAGGCTCTATTACCATGGGCAAAACTGTTTAACCTAACAGGCCCTACATTCCTGTACATTAAAATGAATATAATGATACCTATCTGGTATTAATGCCATAAGAATTAAATGTTAAAAGGACTAAACAAGAAAACACATGAAAATACCTAAGATGATGCTCCCTTCCTATTTAGTTAATTCTTCTTCTTAACTCAAAGTGCTAGCCAGTTCAGAATAGTCTCAAAACCATTCTAAGTCTTCTGATACTTAACCATAAAGGGTTGCATCAGTTCGGATGATTTTTTGTATATGTACACATAAATGTGTCTGTACACATACAATGCCTAAAACCAGGACTCTGCATGAAGACATACTTTAAAAAGAGAAAGGCATAATTATTATAAAGGGGGTTCTTTTATTTTTCCATTGACAAAAACCATTTATTCAAACCATCCCTCTTTTTTTCCACAGTGAACATGTATTATTTACATAACCATGAAAAAAATAAATATTGCTGATTTCATTATTAAAAAGACATTTCTTAGAATAAAAAGAAAGAAATCTCCTTTCACGCACATCATATTTTCCATGCGAAGTATGTCATATCTTCTACTTTGAACCACATGAATCTGGAGAAGATAAGCAGATGTATGGAAGAAAAAGCAAAAATTGTTCAGTAAATTGGGGAAGACATATCTAAGAACATCTTTCCAAGTACTTTCCCCAAAATGCTCGTTTTCTGAATCACCCAGAAATACTAATGAGAAGGAAGAGATTATATTAAGTATGAGAACCATATTCCTTTGGTTTTAAAATGGTTTTTCAAAACCAATACAAATCCATCAATTCAAGGCATTTCTTCTAAACCTAGATCAGTGAAAATGCAACATACTCAGAATTAAGTCTCACTCAGACTCAAACCATGCACAATATAGCAGAGGGGAAATTCTCACAGCAGCTGTGCAAACACAAAGACTCACCTGGACCTTGACTGACATCTGTGGCAGCATTTTCAAAGGGCAGGAAAAGGAGAGAGGAGAAAGAAGGGGAGAAAAAGGAAGAAGAGTGTTAGCAGCACACACACACAATGCCATGTGCCCTTGCATGACTATCAAGTTCATGCAAGCCCCAAAGGTGCTCATTTTCTGAGCACTTAGCGCTACCTTCACCCAAAACCACCCATGCAAGCCGAGGAGCCAAGCTCCCTTTTCACTGTGCATGTAGCAAGAGAGGTAAGCTTCACATCTGTCCGGAAAGACATCATCCTGGAATCAGATAGGGCTTCAAAAAGCCAAGCAGACTGGAATCCTGCAAGAATATTAATCAAAATATTCTGGTTGATTTCTGCACACTGACACCAAAGCAAATCCTCCTCCTCCTCTTCGGATACCAAACACTGGACATGAAGTCAAGCAAGGTTTCCCAGCAGAGAGAAAAAGTAATAATAAACCACTCCCTTGAGAAAGAAAGCAAAAGAAGCATAAGAATTAAGAGCAAGTTATAGCATTATTCACCACACAGGACTTGAAGGACATAAGATCACAAAATATTGACAATTCCTCCCCTCCCCAGTATACTCAGTGACCATTCTTCATCACAGACAACAGTGTGTGTACGTGAGATTGTGTGTGGTAGATCATCCACATACAAATTGAAATCCTGCCTCCTCCTTTAATTGCTTTCCTTGCTTTTCACCCCATCACTAATGACAGAAATTGCCATTTGAAATCACTTTTGACAACTATGAATAAACACCCAACCCTAGAAAGATTGACATTTGAATTAAGCCAATGAACTTTCAAAAAAAATGAAGAACGGTTTACTCCTATCAGCTCCATGAACAATATAATTTCTTCCTCCTTCCCTCAGATGTGAAATAGAATCGTGCTGGGGAAGCATAACCCAGAGCAGCCCAAGGCACTGTTAAAACCCTAGACCCAACCTGAGAGGATATTCTACAGCAGAGGAGAAGGAATAAGGGGCTGCTTCTGGAAACCACTGACCAATCTGGCAGTGTTTGATAACTCACTTAGAATCACTGAATGGTGGATCTGGAGTAGCCATAGATGCTAAGTACCCAATTTAGTTCTTTTTTGTTAAGATGGAGGATGAAAAACGTGGAGAGACCTGTACAAAGTCACACAGCTACTTCAGGGGCAGAGACTAGAAAATATTCAGAGACTGAATCTCTTGAATCCCACCCAGTCCATCATCCATTCAACTGAAGCCTAGGTCCCTCAAGAGCAAACAGGACCTGATTCAGTTTGCAGATTAAAGTGATCATGTTGAAGCCTTGGGGAAGCTGAGAGAGCATCTCCCACCTACCCCACGAGTGGGTCATGGTTTATTCTCTGTGCCTCTAATTTGCTGCCTGAACAAGATGGGTAATGTTCTTCATGCCAACCAATAATGAAAAACCTGCAATCAGATTTGTAAAGCTCCAGTGTGTCCCTAGGGCTCTTGCGAAAATCCAGGTGCTGACCAACGAAGCTGTGCCCCAGAATAAAAAAGAAACACACCCATAGCAACAGCTGAGCACTTCTCTAGTGCCCACCCTGCCTTCCCTAGAAGCTGTATCTGCCCAAAGAAACCTGTAGAAAGCTCTGACTCATCCCTCAGCCACACCCCCATTCAGGTTTCCTAGTGTGTTAGATTTAGGGATGAGTGGCAGGAAGAAGAGAAGAGGTGGAAAGGGAAAATATGCTGTATAAATAACTAGGCAGGGTCATTAACTGTAACTGATGAATTGCCTAGAATAGCAGTTATTAAAATACCCCTTAATTAAACAGGATATCAAACTATTTACATGTGGTGGAGTTCTGTGACTGGAGAATGTCAACACCATTGTTCACACAAACAGGCTCTTTGGGGACACCAAGTCCCAGGGAGACAGAATTTCTTGGAACTCCAAAGATTTGAACCAGGTTTTGGTTCAAATCCCAGCCTGTCTGTGGCCTTGGACCCATCACTAAACTTCTAAGCGTCATCTTCCTCTGCTGTAAAATGAGAATGACAGCAGAGCCTCCCTCGTGGGGGTGGTATGAGAATTAAATGAGGTTAAATACTTGTAAAGCACTGAACTAAATACAAGGCAAATGCTACATAAACGTTAGCGACTCTGATAGTTACCACTTTGAATTACTGCAGATGGAAATATCAAAATATATTGACCAGATGGCTAACTGGAAACACCAAGAGATCACAGGAGTGAAGCCAGTGATTTGGGTTCCACTTTTCTACCTATGAATAAGGACATCTGCTCCAGATCTCCCCTCCCTCTGGTTCTTTCCCACCCCATTCCTCAGCATGAACTGAGGGGGTGAAAAGAAGCAAGGATCAAAACAAATTCCATCCTATTTCTTTTGTTTTCCCTCCTCAGGTCTCAACTTGACATAGTTCTAGTCCTGTCGTGTAAAAAATACTGCACCTATTGTTGTCAAAGAGGGGAAACAATGCCACCAAAAACAAACAAACAAAACCCTCTGGCTGGGGATCAAGGTCCAAGCTCAGTTCCTAGCTGTGGCACTAACCTGGAGGCAGGTCTGAGCATTATTCCAACTTTAGGAATAGAGACAGTCTGTCACCTGGCCCCTGGCCCAAGAAGCAGTGAGTGACCTGAATCTCTTGACTCAATTCTGACCGACAGAATGAAATGGCAAAGGCAAGAGGCAGACGAAGGAGGGGGATGGCTAGCAAGCAGGAATCAAAACCTTAGCAGTGTCCATCTGCCAAACTGCCTGTCCAGCATCTTTTTCCTCTTCTTGCAACAATGCTCAGCTGTTTTCCAGGGAACCCCACTTCCCACCCATAGCCCATGTGGTTTGGTAGAGGTGTCCTCCACTCCCACTTGAGCTCCAAGGGTAGTAGCCATGTGACTCAGGTCAGGTCTTGAGAATATTCTGTCTCCAATAATTGGCTCAAGAACAGACATGTGACCCAAACTCAACCAATGAGAGTCTTCCCAGGGAACTTTACTGGAATCATCAGGAAATGGGATGCTTTCATTTCTCTGGAGTGGCCATATTCCATCTTTGTTACCATATGAAGACAGCTTACCTAAAAATGTGGGGAGCACAGAAGAAAACAGCTTTCCTTAATATAGTAAAGGGATTAAGATGACCTAGAACCAAATCCCAGTTCTACTCCCTCATCTAGAGGCAAGTGCCTTAGCTTCTCTGAGCCTCAAACTTACCATGTATAAATGGAGATACTAAAAGTATCTATTTCCGTGAGTTTTATCAATGATCATCTATTCACCATTCAATACATATTGACTGAGCATCTATTATAGGCCAGACTGCTTTAAACATTGGAGACACAAACATTGAATGAAACAGTCAATACTCTTGGGTTTTAATGCAAATAAAAACAGATATATAATGACAAATAGTGATTGGAACCAAGAAGAAAGGAAAAGCAGAGTAAGTGCCAGTAGAGTATCCCCATTTTAGAGAAGGTAGTTAAAGAAGGTCTTTCTGAGGAAGTAATATTTGAGCTGATACCTGAAGAAGGTGAGAAACACTCTATGTATACCTGACAAAGACTATTTAGGCAGGGGAATAGCAAATACAAAACATCTAGGCTGTACCTGCTCAGTTGGTTATTTCTACTGTTATGACAGAAAAACCAAGGACTGGCTTACATTACCATCCCCCTCTCACCTTCCTAGCTCTACCACTCACATACATCCTCTGTAGGTAACAGGTACTCAAGAAATTCTCAAGGGAAAAAATAATCCTGATGATAACTAGCTCTGGCCCAGTTGCAGCCACCTCCCTTAGGATCTCCATGATCTAAACAAGAGAAACAAAACCGGAAAGAAAGAATTAGAAACTCACCCCCATCTTTCACCTACTCTCTTCAGCATCACAACCAGAGAAGAAGTAAATTAGGGCATTCCCACCTCCATTCAGAACCCCACGGACACTTATTGCATATGCAACAATGACTTCAGCCACAAATGCATATGCTCAGCATGATTATTCTCAAGTCCAAAGGAAACAATTTTCTGCAGTTTGAAATACGTGGTTCTTCTACCCGATATGGTTTGGCTGTGTCTCCATCCAAATCTCATCTTGAATTGTAGTTCCCATAATCCTCATAAGTCATTGGAGGGACCCCATGAGAGATGATTTAATCATGGGGCAGTTACCCTCATGCTGTTCTTGTGATAGCGAATCAGTTCTCACGAGATCTGATGGATTTATAAGGGGCTTTTCCCCCTTTTGCTCAGCACTTCTCCTTCCTGCCGCTATGTGAAGGAGGACATATTTGCTTCCCCTTTTGCCATGATTGTAAGTCTCCTGAGGCCTCCCCAGCCCTGCAGAACTGAGAGTCAATTAAACCTCTTTTCTTTATAAATTACCCAGTCTCAGGCATTCCTTCACAGCAGCATGAGAATGAACTAACACATAACCACTGGGGGGAAAAGAAAGGACGTTCACTGCTACCTCAGTTGGGGTAGCTCTCCCACCTCACCCTTCATTTGTACTAGATCATCAGGAAAGGTATGAGTCCAAGATTGCCCCAACTTACTACTTCAACTCCCCCATGCCACTGGAGGAGCTCTGGGGAGCATGGGACAGGCTGCACAGCCAGCCTCCTGGAAGCAAGTCCCAGTCAAATCTTCTGGGATCCCACCTGGTGAACTCTGCCTTGAGACTGACCTATTTTCTAGGAGAGAAAATAGAATATGGATTTAAATGCAGTGGCACTCTGGAAAACTACAGGCCCAGCAGTATGAGAAAATAAAACAGCAGGAGGTAGCTGAGGAAGTATGCTGGCACAGGGGAAAATGCCACTGCCCCTAGATCAATCGTACCTAGTTTGTCAACTGCCTTTTCTTCTGCAATTTGCCCCCACTTTTCGTCTATTAAAAATTAATATACACACACATATATATATATATACACACACACACACACACATACACACATACTTACCTATGTATTTCCTCAGGCCAGTCCTGGGGCCCTGTGCTGCTCCCCCATACACAGAC